GTAACTTAATAAAATGTATATATATATATATATATATATATATATATATATATATATATATATATATATATACTGTATTTACATTTATTTACAATAATTTTGTACTGTACAGGGTGTTTTTAGGCCATAAAAAAGTACTACAAATTAACGGATGATCCCCCTCTATTAGTCCGTTAAATTGAGGTTTTACTGTACATAAACCAACTACAATGCAATATTTATTATATACCATTTTAATAGATAACTATGAAAACAAGTTTTTGAAAGGTAAGAATTCTGTAATCAAACACAAAGAAAACTTTGTCCACCTAATGAATAAAGAGAAATATTGTTTTTCTCACCTAAAATCTAAAATTCAAATTCTGTTTGGTTCAGAGGAAGAGATGCTCTCAACCTATTTTAGTGAATTTATGTGGTGAGAGTAAATGAAAGAAAAGCCTGAAAAAAAGCAGGTTCTTAAAATTTATAATAACAATTACTCATCGTTGTGTCTATTTAAATTCTCGTTCAGACATTTTTTAAAATTTATGACTAAAAATATTTTTCATATTTATTTCTTTATAAAATAGTAAATAATAAATAGTTCATTATAGTTGGTTCACACATTTTTGTAAGTATAAAATTATTCCTGTAAATAAGCATTCTAATAAATAAACAGCATTTCATACCTTTATTGTCAATAAATAAAGATATCATAAATCCACTTTCATATGTTTGGGTTTTATTAAAATTCTAATCATTGCTGAGGGAGTCAAAAGTGTATACAGTAATAGTGGTGTCAAGAGAATAACCGTTCTCTTGACACACCTTTTTTGTGCGCACAAAGGTTAAACATTGCCAAATTTTCTTTTTTATTTACTTTTTTCTTGCTAACATAATATGTCTGTTTTACCGCCATAATTAAAAAGTGTAATAAAGGAATATTGAATCTATCATATTCGTCATTATATAAAAAATCTTTGATTAACATAGACCTATGTGCCCCCCCAAAGGGGGGGGACTATCAAAAGGATGATTTCCCACCCCCCATATCACCACTTTTATTTTAACTACCTTCGCTCTTCAGCGATGTTTATCATTTTAAAAAGCAATGATTAGAATTGTAATAAAACCTAAGCATGTAAAAGTGAATTTGTATACTTTCTTTGTTCTTGAGAATTGACAACAAAAATAATAAACACTATTTATTAATTAGATTGTTTATTGGAAAGGTTGGCAAAATATCTACTATTAATTCAAACTTTATTATATGGTAAATAAGGATTTCCTTGTAGTTGGTTTACATGTTTTAATAATTTAGTAAGTGTTTATAAATATATGAATAAAAACTGTTTTCATATTTATTTCTTTATAAATTGGTAAATGATAAATATTGCATTGCATTAGTTTTACTTGTACTAGTCTTTAGAATGTTGTTAATATAAAATTATTCTTGTAAATAAACGGGCGATAATGGTTATGTTCCTATTCACATAAATGAAGTAGTAAATACTGTATGTTAGTCTGCAGTTGAAGATTTGTGGAATTCACTTGACTCACTATGAGCAGTTGACTACTTCCTCTATGCACCACTGGCAAATCTTGTCCTAAATATTATCATTCATTACCAACCTTTGTGCAATTATTCTGTTCAGTAACCTTATCTAGGTTACAGCATAAACAACCTAATAAATGAATGGTGTTTAATATTTTTGTCGTAAAAAAATGCATAAATTCACTTTCATCATATGTTTAATTATAATCATCGCTTTTTAAAATAATAAGTATTGCCAAGGAGTGAAGGTAGTTAAAATAAAAGCAATGTCATGAGAAAAACTGTCCTTTTGACATTCCATATTTTTTTCCCCAGGCACAAAGGTCCAAGTTTACAAAATTTTCAATCTGTAATTTTTCTTTCAATCAATCTAAAAAAAATAAAAAGAAAAAAAAAAAAAAAAAAAGAAAAAAAAAAAAAAAAAAAAAAAAAAAAAAAAAAAAAAAAAAAAAAAAAAAAAAAAAAAAAAAAAAAAAAAAAAAAAAAAAAAAAAAAAAAAAAGAGAAATGTCTATATTCTTACCTTTCTTTTTCTATTTCCAGAGATAACTGATCCATGTCATGTTCTTTCAAGAAATCAAAGCTTCCTTCTATGTTGCTATCATTTCCACAAAAGTCAGACGTCAAAGTTACAAGAGGAAAATTTCCAGTTAAGTTACACATATTCTGAAACGACAATAAATACTGGATCAAATTGGGAAGGAAAATCCAATGATCATCTAATACATGTAGGCATCCCTCAATCTCAGGAGACCATGGAATCTATTAGTCTAATGATTTACTAATAAAAATCCTAATTAATCCATATTTGGGCTGGGGTAGAGAAATGGTAGATTAAAACCTTTCCCAAGAGTATTTGCATGTAAACAAATTTGATAACTCACCCAACTGGAATTGGAACTCAGCACTCAGATTTCAAATTCCGAGCCGTTATCTCTTACATCATCGAAGTTTACAGCACCTGGTATTCCCAAGTAGTCATCCATCTACAGATTAACCAGGCTCAATATTGCTTAACTTTGATGATTGTACAAGAACTTGTTTCATCATAAGGACAAAATAAAACAAAACCTATTTTTGTCTATTTAAATTTAAACAACTTACTTTTTCTTTAAATAAAACTTACTTTTTCTTTAAATAAAACTTACTTTTTCTTTAAATAAAACTTACTTTTTCTTTAAATAAAACTTACTTTTTCTTTTAAATAAAACTTACTTTTCTTTTAAATAAAACTTACTTTTTCTTTAAATAAAAAACTTACTTTTTTTCTTTAAATAAAACTTACTTTTTCTTTAAATAAAACTTACTTTTTCTTTTAAATAAAACTTACTTTTTCTTTAAATAAAACTTACTTTTCTTTTTTTTTCTTTAATAAAACTTACTTTTCTTTAAATAAAACTTTTTTTTTTTTAAATAAAACTTACTTTTTCTTTAAATAAAACTTACTTTTCTTTAAATAAAACTTTTTTTCTTTTAAATAAATAAAACTTACTTTTCTTTAAATAAAACTTACTTTTTCTTTAAATAAAACTTTTTCTTTTTAAATAAAACTTACTTTTTTTTTAAATAAAACTTACTTTTTCTTTAAATAAAACTTACTTTTTTTTTAAATAAAACTTTTTTTCTTTAAATAAAACTTACTTTTTTTACTTTTTTTCTTTAAATAAAACTTACTTTTCTTTAAATAAAACTTTTTTCTTTAAATAAAACTTACTTTTTCTTTAAATAAAACTTACTTTTCTTTTAAATAAAACTTACTTTTTCTTTAAATAAAACTTTTTTCTTTTAAATAAAACTTACTTTTCTTTAAATAAAACTTACTTTTTCTTTAAATAAAACTTACTTTTTCTTTTAAATAAAACTTACTTTTTCTTTAAATAAAACTTACTTTTTTCTTTAAATAAAAACTTACTTTTCTTTAAATAAAACTTACTTTTTCTTTTAAAACTTTTTTTCTTTAAATAAAACTTACTTTTTCTTTAAATAAAACTTACTTTTTCTTTAAATAAAACTTACTTTTTCTTTAAATAAAACTTACTTTTTCTTTAAATAAAACTTACTTTTTCTTTAAATAAAACTTACTTTTTCTTTAAATAAAACTTACTTTTTCTTTAAATAAAACTTACTTTTTCTTTAAATAAAACTTACTTTTCTTTAAATAAAAACTTACTTTTTTCTTTAAATAAAACTTACTTTTCTTTAAATAAAACTTACTTTTCTTTAAATAAAACTTACTTTTTCTTTAAATAAAACTTACTTTTCTTTAAATAAAACTTACTTTTTCTTTTTAAATAAAACTTACTTTTTCTTTAAATAAAACTTACTTTTTCTTTAAATAAAACTTACTTTTTCTTTAAATAAAACTTACTTTTTCTTTAAATAAAACTTACTTTTTCTTTAAATAAAACTTACTTTTTCTTTAAATAAAACTTACTTTTTCTTTAAATAAAACTTACTTTTTCTTTAAATAAAACTTACTTTTTCTTTAAATAAAACTTACTTTTTCTTTAAATAAAACTTACTTTTTCTTTAAATAAAACTTACTTTTTCTTTTTCCTATAAAAAGCAGAAAGTACACTTAAGACATTATATAAGAAAATTACAAAGTAAATAATATATCTATATTTTACATGGGGCATTTGAAAATCCCCACACCACTAATTCTGCGATAGTACTGACAAACATTTCCCCAGCTGTGGGAGGAGGGTGAGGTTTTCAATGCGATCAAATACAGTAATGCATTTTTGCGAATTGTGAAATCAAAACAGTTTAAAAAATAATAAATAAAAAAGGAAAATTAAAAAAACTATTCACTTCATAAGACGCTTGCGTGATTTCCGCCAATTTCTCATTTGCCTGTTTCTCAGCAAGACGTGCTTTAATCACTTCTTGTTTTAATTGTTCTGCTTGACTTGCTCTGGAAACCAAAACAAAGAAATTACCAGGTACTTCTTGAAAGTTGGTGGAAAAAAAAAAAAAAAAAGGTTTCTGTTTTTGTCTTTATATGGCATTAGTAGGATTTAGTTTTGTTCAAAAAGATTGGTTTTTACACAATTTATCTTCAGACTATTGTCCTCATCTTTGTTGTTATCACATCTTGGCCATTGCTCCCTATGGCCTTCATTAGTCATATGTCAATCTAGGTAACCTACAGGAAACATACACTTGAAGAAGGCCAAAATCTTATGATAACAACAATAAAGAATAGCCCGAACGCAAATAGTATAAAGAAAGTGTGCATTAATGAGCTAAAAGGTAAAAAACAAGATTTTAATGGTGGACATTAAAAGCATTTTTGTTTTTATCTTTTAAAATTAGGAACATTTTTTCCTTGTGAAAATTTCACTAACCTTCGTCCAGAATCTTCAAGCAAAGTGGCTGCCATCATTTCTGCTTCCCTTGCTCTACATTCCATTAACATGCGTTGTTCTTCAGTCTAAAAAAATATGAAGACAAAAATAAGACACATGGGCAAAAAAAAAAAATAAATAAATAGAGAGACGTGTAGACAAGGAAAGAGACGTGTAGACAAGGAAAGAGACGTGTAGACAAGGAAAGAGACGTGTAGACAAGGAAAGAGACGTGTAGACAAGGAAAGAGACGAGACAAGGAAAGAGACGGGGTAGACAAGGAAAGAGACGTGTAGACAAGGAAAGAGACGTGTAGACAAGGAAAGAGACGTGTAGACAAGGAAAGAGACGTGTAGACAAGGAAAGAGACGTAGACAAGGAAAGAGACGTGTAGACAAGGAAAGAGAAGACAAGGAAAGAGACGTGTAGACAAGGAAAGAGACGTGTAGACAAGGAAAGAGACAAGGAAAGAGACGTAGACAAGGAAAGAGACGTGTAGACAAGGAAAGAGACGTGTAGACAAGGAAAAGACGTAGACAAGGAAAGAGACGTGTAGACAAGGAAAGAGACGTGGAAAAAGAGACGTGTAGACAAGTAAAGAGACGTGTAGACAAGGAAAGAGACGTGTAGACAAGGAAAGAGACGTGTAGACAAGGAAAGAGACGTGTAGACAAGGAAAGAGACGTGTAGACAAGGAAAGAGACGTGTAGACAAGGAAAGAGACGTGTAGACAAGGAAAGAGACGTGTAGACAAGGAAAGAGACGTGTAGACAAGGAAAGAGACGTGTAGACAAGGAAAGAAATAAAAAGGCATGTAAACAAAGACCTAAGTAAAAAAAAAAAAAAAAAAAAAAAATAGATTTTATTGATATATTAGAGTCATTAAGTTCACATATATTTCTTCAGATTAATTAATCTAATATATAAAATTGGGGAAGAAAAAAGAGACAACAAATGCCAGTTATAGTTGAGCATTGAAACTTGTCAAAATAGATGTTTATCTTTTACAATTTCATTCAACTTTTTATTGGTTTTTGTTATTACAAATTATACTTCATATTATTTGGACTTTTGTCTCAACAATTCATTATTACCAATTTCTTTCGTTTCTTCTTTTAATTGCTTTTTTGTTTTTTTTTTTCACAGCCTGAATAATGCACTATTATTATTTTCTTTTATCATATTCTACAGGGTAGTCCGAAAGATTCGCCACCCCTACATGATATAATTTTCTATTTCAATGCTCTGAAGTATTATCAAGGAGAGGGTTTCACATAAACAATACCAGAATACCCATCGGTCAAAGGACACTGTTCAAAGAGCCTTTGCAACAATCAACAAAGCACAGGGCACTGCATCATTTTGCACCATGAAAATGATGTCGTTCATACAGCAGATCTTCTCAATATGTGACAGCGTCAATGAAAGTGAATAAACTGGATCCAGTATATGTGCTTTGCATTATTGTATTACTTGTTCTATTTTTCTCATTACTTTTTGGTAGAGGAGGTAACAAGACATTCGGATCACACTGTAGATAAATAGACAAATGTTATGGATGTCTGGATTGGAACTTCAGCCTAGTATCAGAGTGTAGTATCTTTTAACTTTGTGCAAAGTATTACACACACACATTATTTTAGACATGCATTAGAAATTACTTTCTGTTGAGATTTGAACTCACATGCCAACTTTGAGTGTGTTCCAGCCTTTTTCTAATTCTTACATCATCTTTGTTCTACTGATTAGGTACAATTCAAAGATAAGTTTATACTTGATAAAAGACATTAGGGAACCTGAACTATGTAATATTTCAAATACATCACAGTATGCGTGCTAGACAAAGAAAAAAAAAACCATATGAGCAATGTACCGTGCCTCACTTAAGTTTTACTTACAGTTTAATTAGATGATATCAATTGTAATTGCAACATTTAGTGAAATTAAAAGTTAAGCCTTTAATAAGACTTGTTTTTTTAAATCTTTCACTCTGATATTTAAATAGAACTCTAAATGAGTTATTTAATTTTTAATCGTGTAGTTATTACCTGTTACTCCAGGCTCCTCGAGATTGAAAAACAGACGGATGGATGGACACGTACACACTGCATTTTATTTATATAGATTACTATAAATGCTATTTTTAGTGGGCACACATATTCGAGTTGACATTCGTTTTTTTCTTAAACAGTGAAGTTGCTATCAACCAACTTTAGTAGGCCTTCTTGATCTAGGCCAGTTAATATGAATTTTATTGTTTAAGATTGATTGTATTTTTTATGGTTTACCAACCAGAAAGCCAGAAAATATTTTTTACATTGTAAGAATTTTTAGGAGATAATGATTTACAGATACAATTCCTACTAATTAAACCATAACTGGAGGGTGGGAGAAAAGGTGGACCAAAACTCTTCTCAAGGTTATTTGGGTGTTAAGTGAATATAATGAACCTGACTGGAATTGAAACTCAGCTCTTCAATATCCAATTACAACCTGTTATCCATTACACGACCCAAGCTTACAGCACCTGCTTATTCTCAAGCAGTCGCTCGTCTAGCTACTGAACTTGACATTGCTTAACTTAGGTGATCGAATGAGAACCGCGTTGCAATGTGATGTGGCTGTAAGCCTACTGTTTAAGAAAATAAAAACTAAGATGTTAACTCAAATATGTGTACCCCCACCTCAAAAAAAAAAAAAATAAATAAATAAATAAATAAATAATAGTAATAAGAAATATGGTATTAGTAACTAGCATTACTATCTTCATTTTGTTTTGAAACTTTTTGGCAACAATACTGATAATGGAAAAAAAATTATCCAACAAAAAGTTTTTAATATATGTCTATATTTCCGAGATGAGGTATTGTAACTATTTACACTGTTCAGACTATTGTGATATATTGCCTGAAGAAGGCCAGAGTGAACAATGGCCGAAATGTGGTGAATATGACAAAGATGAAGACAACAGTCTGAAAATAGTTAAAATAATAAGTTTTTAAATGTTAAAGTTATTATGTTTTGTGTATTTTGCACATAAATGTTTTTTTTGTTCACACAAATCAAAAAATGACATCAAATGTGCAGATAAACCAACCTTCATTGCAGAGATTTTGATTCGTTGAACCTCAGCTTCAGCTTCTGCAGATTTACGCGTCAACAATAAAGCTTCCTCCTCTGCAATACGTGCCTTTTCAGCTAGCAAATCAGCAGACTCCTCAGAACGCATCTACAAATAAGGTTTCAAAGTAATAATTTTAGAAAAATGAAACATTTTTAAAAAAGGGTCTTTATTAACCTTATAGATAACCAACAATACATTTTCAACCTTTTTTGCTTCAGCAATTTCAGCAGTCAGCCCAAAAATTGTGCCCCGCGTCTACAGTCAGCCCAAACCACGTCTACAGTCAGACCAAAAATTGTGCCCCGCGTCTACAGTCAGACCAAAAATTGTGCCCCGCGTCTACAGTCAGACCAAAAATTGTGCCCCGCGTCTACAGTCAGACCAAAAATTGTGCCCGCGTCTACAGTCAGACCAAAAATTGTGCCCCCGCGTCTACAGTCAGACCAAAAAATTGTGCCCCGCGTCTACAGTCAGACCAAAAATTTGTGCCCCAGCGTCTACAGTCAGACCAAAATTGTGCCCCTGTCTACAGTCAGACCAAAAATTGTGCCCCGCGTCTACAGTCAGACCAAAAATTGTGCCCCGCGTCTACAGTCAGACCAAAAATTGTGCCCCGCGTCTACAGTCAGACCAAAATTGTGCCCCGACCAGACCAAAATTGTGCCCGCGTCTACAGTCAGACCAAAAATTGTGCCCGCGTCTACAGTCAGACCAAAAATTGTGCCCCGTCTACAGTCAGACCAAAATTGTGCCCGCTACAGTCAGACCAAAAATTGTGCCCCGCGTCTACAGTCAGACCAAAATTGCGGCTTTTGGACTATCTTTCTGCAGCCCATGACGAAATATTTGTGCTACATATTTTTCACCAAGTTTAATTTATTTTTGTGACATTTTTATCAATTAATTTAAACTAATTTCAAGTTTAATAAATCTGCCCCTGGCCCTTTCCATACTTTTGCAGTAGCAGTATTAAGCTTCACCTAACCAGCAGGTGCCAATTTTAAGATCAGCACAGTCCATACTAGTTTCTCACAAGAGAAGGGAAGAAAACTTCCAGCCACCACATTTCTTCCATTACCTGACAAGAAAATAGAAATGTACATTGTGACAATGTCTAGATTTATCATTTTTTTTTTTTTTTTTTTAGTATTTTTCAGAATATTATGGAAGGCAAAAATAAGAATCAAATTTTTATATACATTATACAAGTTTTTATATACAGGTGCAACAGAAATACCGCCCACATAATGGTAAAACATTAGCTAGATGACAACTGCCACTAATATTTCTGCTGCACCCCAATATATATATATATATATATATATATATATATATATATATGGAACAGAGCTTAGTACTTTAATTCAAATAATTATATTGAAGTTTTCGGCTCTTGTTTTGAAACATGAGAACTCTTATGTAGCGTTGGAATCATATTTTTAAATAAATAATTATATTTATGCTCTACTTTTGTATCGAGCACTATTTTTTTAAAATAATAACAAAAATACTAAAGAACTTTGAATTATTTAACAAACGAGTTCTTTCCTTTTATATATATATATATATATATATATATATATATATATATATATATACACACACACACACACCCTCTGCTTGCTATATTGCCATAGTACTATGCTGCTAGATTTTATACTATGTTCGTTATATTGCCATCCATAACAAGCATATAACTTGGGTACCTCCACGAGATCGCTAAAAAAAGAGCATAGCATGATGAAAAAAGACGCCAAACTTGACGAAAAACAAAATTTTATCGTCTAAATGTTTGTTATTATTAAGAGGAAAGGTCAAAGTATTTTTGGGGTATTTTTTTCCATTTTTAATCGTTCCTAGCACGTCCGAAATTTTCGTTAAAAAATCTAGTTTTTTTTGAGTCAGCAAATTGACCATTTTTTCCATTTTAAAAAAAAATGGAAATCTGACTTTGAAATTTTTTTTAAATATCAATTATCATTTTTCAAAACTTATTTTAAGAAAATCAGAAATTATAATGTTTATTTAAAATATTTTGAACCAAACTTAACTTAGCTTAAAAGATGTAATTTGAAAATAAAACAAAGCAGGTCATAAACTTTTCAAGGTCTCTTGACATGTGATGAATGATATATTTACAATTCCATGAGGCTAATTTGTTCTACGGAAGGAGAAAAGTGAAATAATTTACATTTAAGTGAACAAATTATTTACCCCATTATTTTTTAACGAAAACTTTCAGCGGTCTAATTTTTTTTTTTTTTTTACTTAGCTTTCACCTTTACGTTTATGATGCTTTATGGGAAATATATTCTAAAAAAATTAAAATAAAACTGTTAAGAGTGACATTAAATTTCATATTTCTTAAGAAAGGTATCTAATTAATTTATAGGTACCTTTCTTATGAAATTTTATCAGAATTGTACATAAAATACTATAATTTTATGTACATTTATTACATTCTACTGTTATTTGTATTTGCATTCATTTTATTATTAATTTTGATATTTCATTTATGGAAAAAATGTAACTGAGATTAATATAAAAATAAGATCATATAAATTTCATAAGATGATACTGATACTTGTAGGTACCCTTCTCAGTCGAAATTGAAAAATCAAATTAACTTCTCCACACGTGTTTACATAAAAGTAAAGGCCTTAACAGCGGAGAACAATGCTTAACTCAAATAACATAACTTAATTATATTCTGGTTGGTCTTCCGTGTTTTATAATTACAGCTCGATTATAAGCACAAAATTACATTTCTTAATTACTGGGGATCTTCTGATTAGTCAAAATGATACAATTTACAACGCTAAAAAGAAAGATCTATCTCATAAGGACACTTATGAAAGCCGATCGGACTTTTAACTAATTTTATAATATTTTAACAACTTAAATGTAAAATCTATTATAATTAATGAAATAACAAATAATTGTATTAAAATTCATTTTTCATCGAAAAATTTTTTTTTGCTTTCAGAAAATATTGTCCATATTCATAAAAACAACTAAAAAGCAAATAAAAGCATTTGAAATTAAATATTATCTTTGTTTTATTGAGTTTTGTATGTTACAATTCAGAGCTGATTTTCAGGTACTGCGTATCCAATTAAAAAACAAAAACATGATTTGCATTCCTCAAAGCCCTGTGCTTTTAATTGTAATCACTAAAACCGATGCGATCGAATTTCTAGCGTTTTCATAAAATTAGTTGGGGGAGGGGGGTAATAAATATTTTTAAAAAATATTTCTACCATGACTCTCATAAAAAAGACATTTATAATAATTTCGATCATCTGTGAATAGTTCCTGAAAGTTTCATTAACATCCGATAATTATTTCTATTTTTACACGATTTTTCAAATTAATGTGTGTCATACCAAAAAAACGTGCTAAAAATTGTCTATGTTATTTACTAGTTCCGCTGATACAAATAGAAAAAAGATTTTTTTTTTAATAAAAATATAGAATGTTCAAAAAATAAGGAAAATTTTTTAAAAATAATTAAAAAAAACTTTGGTCTTTCCTCTTAATAATAACATAAGCATTTAGACAATAAAATTTTGTTTTCGGCAAGGTTGGCGTCTTTTTCATCAAGCTATGCTCTTTTTTTAGCGATTTCGTGGAGGTACCTAATATAACTATAAAGTTTTATGAATTTTTTAAAATTTTTTCATCAAATTAGCTTCCAAAAAATTTAAAGTCTATTTTTTGTTAATTTAATTTTAGGTTTGAAAATGTAAAGTTTTTCAGAAAATCTGTCAAAGTAAGTTCACTGAGTATGGTTTGGGGTTGACCTTAAAAAGGAGTCAACACTCAAAATCAAATGTATTTAAAGAACAACACCAGGTGAGAGAAAGAAATAAAAAAACCAACTGACTCACAAGAGCTTCTTGGGCTGCTCTCATTTCCTCTTGAAGTGCCATTAGCTTTCTTTCGAGTTCTTCCTTTTCTCGCATGGCTTCTTCTTTTAACTGTTTTTCTCTGGCTAAACGAGAACGGTCCAACTAAAAGGTGAAAGAAAAAATACTTATTCTTGACAATCTTTCATATAGAATCTTTCATTTCTAACAAAATATAGGAGTAAACTAAATTTCTAAAAAAATATTGTTTTCAATTAATTTAAACAAAAGCATCTCATTAAATATTTTCTTAAAGCCATTCGATTTGAAAAACTAGGTTATAGAATATAAGAAAAAGAAAAATTATTAAGGAGTTAAAACAATAATTGAACAGGAATTAAGACATAAGGTAACAGAGAATTTAAATTGCATTTAAATTGTTTTATTCTATAAAAAATAAATAAATAAATAAACCCACAACAGAAATACACTAACCCTTTCAATGCCAATAGGCTATATAAGTTCCAAAAGACATTTTTTTTTACTAAAATTAGTTGTTTGTTACAAATTAATCTTGGTAAATTTTTGCTCAACTCCAAGAAAGCACTTCTGAATTTTTTAAAAATACACTGGACCCAAAGGAAAGCTAAGATAATTTTTTTTTTAAAAATGGGGTACAAAATAAATTATCTGTGCAAAAGTTGGAATAAAGGGGTTAAAATTTTGTGTTTATTCTAAAAAACAATTACAAATAAACAGATTTGTTTGTTTTTTTTACAGTACTTAATTTAAATACCTCCCTCTTTTCTCTCTCTTAATAATATAAGAATTACAAGAAACCTTGTTCACCAAGAAACAAGTTTGGTGACTAATTGATGAAAAATAATTTATTGCAGTGTTGTCACATCCTGCTATGACAACAGAATGTAACAATAGAGCTACTGCAGTTGGGGGATCATTCTTGAAAAAGAACGTAATGGAAGGATAACTAATAAGTGAATAATGCAGAGTGCTAAGGGTTAACCAGGACAATTGCCACTTACTATTATATCCATTAAAATAGAATCTGTAAGACAAAGGTTAAAAAAAAAAAAATTAACTGTACAAGTTTTCAAATAAAAGACATTATTTTATTTAATGTTATTTATTAAGCTTAGCCTAGTCAGGAGATCAAATCCCTAACACAAGTCTGTAAGATCTTACCCATCATAAGATTGGAAAGCATTCAATTATTTTTTATGTAAACATTTTTTTTTAAATCATGAAAATGTACTCAAGGACACCTTACTGGGGAAGATTAAGGACATTATTTTCATCTGATGAAGTCCCTTTGAAGGATGAAAGGGGTTACAAATTTTTTTTCCATTTATTACCACACACACTAATATTTTACACACACACACATATATATATATATATATATATATATATATATGCACATTTCATTAAATACAACAAACAAGGTGCTTTGATTTAGTTTTTTTATACAATATGTGATCTAATAATTTTTTTTTTCTTTTCATATGATAAATTATATAAAAACTGTCCAAATGTTTTTTTCCAAGTGCTTTCGGCTATACATTTAGCCATTTTCAGGGATGAAATTTTTTAAATGTTAAATAAGAAATAGTTTGTTGCATGTATGTATTTACAGGTTTTCATTTTTCAAAACACGGTCAACATATTGTGTCTATGTTCATAGTTGATATTATTAAGCATTAGTTTTTTTGTTTTTATTAATAAGGCTTCCATTATTTTTAGCCTTTTTTTGCATGTAGATGATGCTATTATATTTCTGTTGTCAACAAATATGTTACGAATAGGGTCCAGTAGGTCTCCATGAATATTTAAATGAGATCTAATTGAGCTATGGTCAGAAACATAGAGTGAGTCTTCGTGTCAAACTATTCATAACATAAAAATACCTCACATAGCCTAGGCTAATAATTTCACTAATTTTTTTCTTGATTTTCCATGCTGAAATTGGAGTGCGTTTTATATGGCATCAAATACAGTACATAAAAATCTACACATTCAGTTAAAATTAAAAATTAGAAAACATCCTTCATGATGGCTAAAAGAATAGAAGAAAGCACTTGGACATTCAAACACATTCAGGCAATTTTTACACACTATGTCCAAAAAAGAAAACATTTATACAAACCCAAGTAAAAAGATTAAATAAAAATCTTAAATGCAGTACATAGTCTGCCATCTTTAATGAAATTTTTTTTACTTTCTTGGCAGATCTAGTATCACAATGCAGAATACTTAGTAACAAAAGCGATAAAAATATAAACAAAAAGGTAAAAGTAAATGAAATCAGCTAGATTATGTACCCAAAACTTAGTATAAACAAAAAAAAAAAAAAAAAAATAAAATAAAAATTTAATTTTAGAAGCTTAAAATTCCGAAATTCTTTTTCTGAACAAAACTCACCAATCTTCTGGCTTTCTCTTCCCGGGCATGTGCCTTCATTTGCTGAATTTCCATGCTGTCTGTTCTTCGTCTTCTCATATACAATTCTCTGTTGCCGACACAAAGTTCAAGGATCTAGCAATATTAAAATTGATAACAAATTAATCCAGAAACAATGTTTCACGTAATTTCTGTTTTAAAATCATGGCATTTATTTTCAAATCTGTATTAACCAGACCACTAGGCAATACCAGGTGCTGCAAGCTTGAATGTGTCTGTGGTATAATGGATAAAGGCTCGGAATCACTAATAAGAGAACAGAGTTCCAATTCAGGTTGGATTTGTTATATTTACTTATACACAAATACCCTTGTGAATGGTATTAATCTATCGCTTCCCGTCCCACCCCACAAAATAAGTTAATTAGTAAGACTTGTATTGCTAAATCATTATCTCAAAAAAATTCTTCTAATCTAAAAATTATTTTCTGGCTTTAAATAACCTGCAAAGGGTTGATAAAGCATAGAAAACGAAATCAATCAATCAAATACTGATTCGCTACACAGGTTATGTCTTAGATTTATTTACATCCTCTGGAAGATGTATGTATGGAAACTACCGTGGACACAAAGTGAGGGATCAGTTTACATACTAATTATAATATAGAATTGATCCCCCACTTTATGTCCATGCAATGTCATGTTTATGAAATTCTGATAAGATATGAATTCACTTCTTCCATCTATGGGTTAATTAGTAAGACTTATCAAACCATTATTTATTTATTTCCAAAATAAAATTTAAAAATTCTTCCAATCTAAAAATATTTTCTGGTTTGCTTTAAGTAACCTGCAAAGGGTTGGTAAGATATAGAAAATGAATCCATCAATGAAATACTGATTAGCTACACAGGCATGCCTTGCATTTATTTACATCCTCTGGAAGATAAATGTATAGAAACTATTGTGGCCACAAAGTGAGGGATCAAGGAAACAAACCACCATTTGCAATAACTATTCTTTCTTTTTATGTGCTATGACCTTTCAGGACGTAGGTAATCATGGCTCTCCACCTCCCTCTATCCCTTGCAGCTCTCAATAAGTTCCTTCCCTCAATTTCCTCCCCCCAGACTACGTTCTGTCATCCACTTGCTTAAGCCCGCCAGGTATGTCATATGTTGTTTACCCTTATCTCTCTTTTCGACCCATGAGTATCAGATTCTCCAGGCCCTCCTTCCTCATTATGTGTCCCAGAAACTTCAGCTGCCTCTTCCTGATATTAAGTATAAGCCTCCTCCTTGTTTTCAATCTCTCTAAGACCTCGTCGTTGATCACACGCTCGGTCCATAATATCTTTAGCATCCTTCTGTAGAAACACATCTGTTGTCTCGAGTCTCTTCATCTTTGAGGAAATCATCCAACATTCGCTGCCATGTAGAAAGACAGATGTCATGTAATGGTTTAGTATTTTTTTCTTTGTTACCAAAGAAATCCTTCTGTCTCGCAGTACTCTGCCCAGCTTTTGGAATGTGTCCTTGGCCATCCCAATACGTCTACAGATCTGTGTCGCAGTTAGTCTTCTTTCAAAATGCTTCCCAGATATTTAAACTTTCGCATCTGGTTGATTCTAGTGTGCCCAACCTGCAAATTGCATTTTGGGCTCATCCGTTTGGGCTCATCCATGCATTCTGTCTTCTTGTAGTTTATACTTAGTCCTTTCTTCTCACTCTCTGTCGCTACCTTCTGTAGATTTTGTACTTTCATTTCCGTATCTGGTGTCAGTATAGAGTCATCTGCATATCTTATGTTGTTAAGATTGTGGCAGCCAATGCTAAATCCCAGTAATGTTTCCAGTTCTCTCAGAATTGCCTCGCTGTATAGGTTGAACAGGTCACGTGAGAAGATGCATCCTTGCTTTACCCCACTTTCTATTTTTGTATAATCACTGAACTCTTTCCCTATTATGCACATGCTTTTCTTAAAGAATAATTTTAGCTTGCAAAAAAAAAAAAAAAAGACGTGTGGGTAGCCCAATTTAGAAAATTCCAGGACTTTTCAAAGTGCTTTAGGGCTATTGCTGTTTTTTCCAGGACTTTTCAAGCTCTGGCAAAGGCCCTGTCAATTTTCCAGGGCCTGTACAAACCCTGAAAATATTATTAAAGAGAGAGAGAGAGAGAGAAATAAAATAACAGGAATTAAGACAAAAGATTAACAGTTAACACTGCATATAAATTTTTAAAAATGAAAGTTGACAGGAAAGCAAGAAGCCAAAAGAGAATTCCACAAGCAAGAAGTGCAAGAGAAGAAACTCTCAGCATAGGACTTACGGTTACATCGAGCCAATTCAACTGTAAAATGATGAGACCTAGTTAACAAACCTAGTACTGTACTTAAATTCATAAAAGTCTAAATACCAAAGAGGAAATCTCACTAGAACAATTACTGTGAAAATAATTATAGAAAAAAGGTACAGGGACACTACGGTGGTGAGAAAATGGCTGAAGCCGAGATGTCAAGTCAGGACCAATAACATTGCAGATTCTTTGGAATGTGTTTGGGTCCTTTGTCATGATCAAGCCAGGGAGACGATCGTTTATGATTGTCATAATGGATCCATTTCACATCACAAGTCACTATTTGATCAAGAAATTGATCATGCAAATTTTGCAGACACACTTCAAAACATCAAACTCTTTGACTTTCACAGAGTTCATGTGCAACCCATTGAGTTTCTTTGACAATTTTGAGATGGTCCAATATTGCTGAAATGCTAACACTCATTATCTGAAACCTTTTTATTTTTGCCTTATTACTGTTAATTCATCTTGCATATGTTGTTTGCTTGCTTTATCATTTTTTGCCCTGTTCTTTTCTTTTTCTACTTATTGTAAATGCTATCAATTCTGTTTGTTGGATGTGTGTCATTTATTTTACATTTAATGATGGCCACTCACTCTACAAAGCAGTTCTCACTTAACCCTTGCGTAGTTGGAGTAAAATTAATACACTGACAACTGTCCTGCTTTGTGCCCTATCAGAGCTACTAATCAGCTGACTAATTACCTTAGTAAGAAAAGACGCTTACCAATTTATTAATCCTCACTTTGGGGGCTGTGAACATAAAATCTGGGGCTTTCTTGTCCATTGGCTTGATGGTGAACTGAAAGATTAAGACAACTTTTAAAAATGTAAAATAAGAATTCAAAGAAACAGAACAATTCAATTGAAATAATCAAGCAAATGAGATTTTTTTTTAGGGAGTGGGGAGAGGGTCCCCAGTCTAATCACCATATAAAATTCTCTTATTTGGGGACATTGCATAACAGACAGAAGTATATATAATCTAGCTGAAAATCAAAGATATACTTTTATTCAAATTTTGCTAATCCTAGTAAATAAATATTGTATAAATAACATCTAGTGGTTACTTTCAAACTAAAAAAAAAAAAAAAAAAAAAAAAAAATACATTGTAATATAGGCAAAAAGCCTATGTGGGTAAGCTTAAAAGAATATAAAGCCCATGCTCAAACCCAAGGGACTACCTCCCCCACCCCCAGAAGGAAGTACCAACTGTACTTTGCAGAGAAGGCTGGGTTTATTGCCCAGATCCTGAGGTGCCTCTAAAAGGTGAAGTGCCAAAGGGGCTAGGGCAATTTTTCCACAGTATTGTCATTAATCTCACTCTAAACCCCAACCTTGTGTCACATTTAATAGCAATGTGAGCATGCTGAAAAATACATGCATACAAGAAAAAAAAAAAAGTCATTCAATTCATGTCAAGTTGCATTAGAAGATTCCTTGATTTCCCCAGAGACATTAAATAATGAAATAAAAAAAAAATAATAAAACTGTTTTCCAAGTTGGCTGTGAATCCCTTTTTGTTAACGAAAACAAGATATGAATTATTTCCCCTCCCCTCGTTACAAGTATATACACTTGTTTGTTATTTTTCCCCTCTTTTTACTCTTCATTGTCGTTAATATTCTTTTCGCTGATCCAACGATTGTCTCCTGATGAGATGTTGGCTGAAAGGGCCCTAGAGACTTAAAATTAAAATCAATACATTCCTTGTTTTTAAAACTATATATAAATTTTGTACCTCCAAACATTTGTTATATATATATATATTTAAAAATCAATAAATAAAGAGGACATGATTGGCTTAAAGTTATTCAACGAAATCAGTCCAAGAAAACCACACAGCTCTAAACAATGTGTGTTTGCTATTCGAGAACAAAACATGCCAACATATTTATTTTAAACATATATCATAAGTATTCATGCATGCGAGAATATTTGTCTGAATATTTCTTCCTCCAAAGCCTGAAGATCACCCATGTGTGGAAATCCTTCTCTTAATATACCTACTTTGATATTTTCGCCCACCTGAACGAATTATAAATAATCAGTTTTTTTTTTCTTTTTACTTATTTTTTTTCTTTTGAAGAAGCACAATTGATCACGAGAACATTTTGAAATGACAGAGGTAGAAGATATGATGCTATTTACTCAAAAGAATGTCTTCGTCACAACAGCTATGGACTAACACTAAAGATGTAATTTAAACTGAAAATATCAAGTATGAAAATCTGCTTGAAATACTTTTCAAAATTAGGCAGAAGGTCAATTGTTTCTTTGATGAAATATACAAGTCAGGATTTAGGGCGGCAAAATAATGAAGCTCTTCAATTCTATTAGAAAAAAAAAACAAAGGTCGTTGTTGAACCAATGGCAGAAATGACATCCATACAGGTTTTTAGGTTGCTGTTTTCATCATATACACATGCAGGTAGGTAGACGAATGCAAATAGTGAACAAAAATGCAGATAGTGAACAAATTATACAATTTTTGCTTAATCTTTTAAGACGCACAATTAGTATTATACACTGCTCGGGTCAAGTTGTTTTGGCCATTCTGCTCACCAATCATAAACACGTTCATTAAGTGGATCAAGTGAGTTCAATTCTTGATTCAAGTTGAGTAAAAAGTCACATACTCCGGTTCTGAGAAAAAAAACAAGCGAATGAAGAATTAACTGATACGACTTATCTCCCCTGACACGGATGGTAGGATGAAAACTATCTGTTGGAAATTACCAGGTTGCTAACACCTGAAAATTGGAGAGTATAACACACAACTCGAGACTAACATTTTTCAACATCGTCCCAGAACTGTGCTGAAAACAACTTTAAGCATCTGAAAAAAAAGTTTTAAACCATCAAAACATTGGTATTTGTTTTCTTTGTTTTTTTTTTTGTTTTTTTTTACTTGTTATAATTAAAAATGGCATTAAAATGTTTAAGAAATAAATTAAGAAAGCTAAAATATTAAAGTTTTAAAAAGGAATAAATACAAAAGTAAATCACTTATATTTTATTGACACTACCATTTATTAGTAGCAAATCCAACAGATCTGACACAATAAACCCTGATAACTACTCTTGAAAAGAACCTCCAATCAGTGGTTAACTGGGGCAAGAAATGGCTTGTAAATTTCAATGCCTCCAAAACTAAACTGCTTTCATTTAATCAGCATAATTATCATTTTTTTTCCTACCATTAGGATGACTAATGCTTAACTCCAGGAGATAAACACTGTATGCCTTTTTGGCCTCATATTTTCCTCCCAACATTAAGTGGAGCAACTATATTGAGTCAACTGCTATGACACTGCAAGGAAGGTTGGTTCACTGTGTTGTGCAAAAAGATTTTACATGTCGGAATCCATCTTGCACAACTATAAATCTACCATTTGTCCATGTATTGAAATACAGCTGACATATCTGGTTTGATGTTCCTACCATGCATCTCAAGATTTTTAACAAATTCTAGAATAGAGTCTGCAATACAATTGATCCTGCCTAGGCATCTCATCACCCGTTACTTTCTAGCCAACATGATGTGGCTGCCCCACTGTCTTTTCTACAAATATTTTCATGGCAACTGCTCAGATGATTTCCCCTGGTGCCTAGACTACATAAATTTAATTTTAATTTGGCAACTTGGTATCACTGTTTTAGTGTTGAACTAGCTAGAAGCAACCATGTTTACTCTAACAGTTTCTTTTCTCTTACTTCTCACCTGTGAAACTCCCTTTTGATAACTACAATCTTCAAAAATTTAAATGCAAGATCAACTGCCATCTTCTGTCTTTGTGGACCCTGTTCTTTCCTCAATCCTTCCAAATGTCAATCTTCTCATTCTCTTTCACTCCCAGTAACCCCCTTCCGTGTTTGGGGCACCATCACCTTACTTAGGGTGAAATGATTAAATAGAATAAAAACATTTTTATTTAAATAGTTATTACATCAATTTTTACAAGGAAATGTTCTTAATTTTTATGCCCAAGGCAACTTAACATAGATGAAAAATTGTGCTTGTGCATTCATTTTCTATAGAAAGAATATTAGCAGATTCCAACTAATAAGTTAAAAAAGTTTTTAAAGTCTTTATCGAAAAATATCCACTTGCAACTGACCACCTCATATAATGACTAAATTTTCAATGATTATCATTTTAAAAATTTTACTTGTATTTTCAGTTTAGTTTGTGATAAGCAGAAAACAGCACTTAAATGTAGTTTGTGAAATTTTTCATTTATTTTTTTTGTTAAATCATAAACTAAGAATAAAATTATTTTCTTGCTTTGTTTATTAAAGCCAAATTCATTCTTCCAATCAGATCCTAATGTTTTTCACATTTAGAGATAAATAATAGAAATATCTACATCTAAGTCCTTCAACCTTCATTTGGATTTTATAATCTAGAATTTTCTTGGTTACTTTATTAAACCCAAGTTAGTTCTTCCAATCGGATCCTAACGTTTTACATATTTAGAGAAATAATAGAAATATATAAATTGAAGTCCTTCAACCATCATTTTTGATTCAAGTTTCATTTACCAGTTAAAAATAATAAGCACGAGTATATCTCAAAGCAGAAGTAAAACAAATTTCAAGATTACCTCAAAAGAATTGCTTTATGTGTCAACATACCTTTATTGTAATAATCTTGACTGACATATATTTAGGTAAACATTCCAATATTGAAATTGATAGAAATATTTATTTTAATATTACATAGGTAAAACCAAAATTTTAAAAAAAGTAAAAGAAAAAAGCTCCTCCTCCACCCAAAAAAGGAAAAGGAAAAAAAAAAAAAAGCAAACAAAATCTAAATTGATTGCCACTTCTCACAAACAGCTTTGATTTATAAAATGCAAGATAAAATTCAGAGACTTTGTTGCAGAAAGAAAAAAAAAATGTTAAGTTTTTATGAAAAGGGTAAACCTATTATCCTTGTTTTTTTGGGTTTTTTCTTACCTTCTTATCTTTGAAAGAAACTTTCTTAATTTCATTCCAAGGAAAAGAGATCTTGGCATCTAATCGATTGTCTCTTTCATAGATATTAAGTCCGTGAGCATCAACTCCAAGCCACAAATCCGTTTGCCTTTTATTCTAAAATGAAGTAAAAAAAAAAAAAAAATCAATTCCATTGTGTGTGATATATGAAAAGCACAAAGATATACATATTTCATACCATACATGGCCATAATTTGTCAAGGAAAATTCTAGTGTGAATAATAATAAATATTCAATTTTTTTTTTTTTTCTAAATGGCTTCTTTTCTATTAAAGTTTTTCTTTTGATTTCAGATGAAAACTTTTCTAATATATTTCAGATAAATTTTCACTTTCAAAAATCATGATTTAGATATAAGGAAAAAAAAAAAAAAAAAAAAAAAAAAAAAAAAAAAGAGGTCAATTTAAACTGATGCCACAAAGATATAGGTTTATTATTCATAATTCTATACATCATCCAGTTCACATTCCTTCCCAGTTTTTTTGAACAGGAGTAGAGGTTTATCCCTTGTTTCCTGTTTGGGATTGAGTTTCCGGTTCCCTCTGAAGTCTTCTCATTCTCTCTCACTTCCAGTAACCCCCTTGCTTGGGGTGAAATGATTAAGAAAAAAAAGAAGCTTACTGTAACACTTTCATCCCAGCCATCAAGTAAGTAACAGACTATCTTTGTTATGAAGATTCTATTAACCAACAATATTTCTTGTTTCTTCAATTGCTACACATATTTGTAGCATTAGATTTAATAGTGTATGGATTTCTTACATGTGTTACCATATATACTCGAGTATATTGTGAGTTTTATAATAGGAGGTTGTACTATACACAGGTAATTTTTTGAAAATGTTAAAAATCATGCATTTTCATTGACCAGTTACATTATACACAGCTAAACTTTTTATGAGGGGTTTAAAATTCACGCTAAAAAATCCAGTGGTCGCACTATTCATGAAGTCTGCAGTGGTAGTATTGTTGTTGTTGTTATCTCATTTATTTATGTTGTAAAAAAAAAAAAAAAACGACAACATATTTTCTTAAATCGTTAGTTGGTTTTCACATGAGAGTCATTTAAATTTTGACCTGTCTGCTATTAACGAATCTTATCGAATAGCATTAAGTGAAATTGCATTCATGGTCACTTCACTGTAACTTTTCTTTCTAATGCATTACAAGTTGGCTTGACCTTTGCAAGTGCTGTGAATGTAAACAAGCCATGCCAACTCTTTTTCAATCCGGGGCCTGTATACAGACATTATGTGACATTGTCAGAATCTCATTGAGGTTAATTTAAATATCAAATCAGTTTTCATTATTATATTACATGTTTTGAAAATACACAGTCTATATAGACAGGTGACATCCTCCTGTTGAGGAGGAGGAGGAAAAAAAAAAAAAAAAAAAAAAAAAAAAGAAGAAGAAGAAAATTAGCAAATAAAGTTTCAGGATTCAGACAGAGATGTCAGAAGTATAGAGATGAAATAGACTTTAGAAGGAAACAGAAACCAAATATAAACTTCTACTTCTATTCAAAAGACTAGGGAGGTGTGTGAACTGGACAACAGGCAAACGTATCTATTTCATTTTATGACTCCTGGTATTATCTGTTCCACAAATAATATTTAGCAAAGTCATCAGAGTTCAGATACAACGAAAAGGATACAAGACATGAAATTTAAACTTTAGTAATCTGTAAGTGACTATTTTCACCAAACAAAATATTAGTCCTGCCAATGCAAGTTGAATTTGAATTTCTTGGTTGTGTAGTCATATCTGTCTATGGCAACACCTACAACAATCTTGACTTAAATTGAGAGCAAGGCATACAGAACTAATATATAAAACACTATTTTGATTGGAATCCATATACAATGAAAAGGGAAGTAATATTTAAAAATGATGCAGATGCTAGACAAACGATAATAAATGTTTTAACAAAAACATGTTTGCCGAAAAGCAAAGAAAGAAATGACATTTATCGTTGAAGTTAGCGATAGACTTATTCAGTTGACGTATCTGATGTACTTAAATGCTATGTGTCTTATTGGCGAGAAAGGAAGCGTGTGTTGTCGCTCCAAAGTCAAAAAGCAAAAGAAATAAGATGAAAGTGCCAGTCAGGATTGAAAAGTAATGACAATGGGCCATCTAAGAAATTCACAAATTAGTAGTGACGTCTTTAAAAACTTGAAAGTTAAGTTTTTTTTTTTTTTTTTTTTTTAATTTCCATCAGTATGGCTGATGCTAACCTCCAGGAGAATGACTCATTGTACCTTCTCAGACTAACATTTTCTGCCAACATCAAGTGGAACGGTTATATTGAATCACTTGCTATGTATTCTGCTGCTAGGAAAATTCATTCATTGTGTCACACTTGACAATTTTTCTCATCAAAATCTCTTAACACATTTACAAGTCGACCATTCGCCCTAGCTTTGAATATTGCTGACACATCTGACCTGGTGCTTCTGTTATATATTTAGAGATCTTTGTCAAAATACAAAGAATCTGCAATGTTATAGGTCCTGACTTGGCATCTCTGCTTCAGTCACTTTCCCCACAGTCGTAACATAACTTCACTGTGCATTTTCTGTAAATATTTTCATGGTCATTGTTCTGATGAATTTCCCCCCTTTGCAACAGAGACTTTATGAATTTAAACGTAGTACCAGATTCCTCAGCAAGATCTCAATTTACAACTAAAATGGCCAGATGGAACTGTAAGTTCTATGCTAACAGTTTCTTCTATCAAAATATCTATTATGATATTTTTCTTCTTTCACACTCAGTAATCCCTAGCATCTTAGTGGCACTATTGCCTTGCTTGCAGAGAAATTATTAAAAATCAACAAAAATAAAAGAAAAGTGTATTTTATGTGCATTAGTTCAGTACCTGCCACTCTATTGTCAGCAAAATCAAATTTGAAATCTAAATTGTTTGTTCATTTAAAATAATAAATTTATTAGGAAACGGATTCAGTTTAAATACAAGAGGAGTCATAAAAATGACTTCAAAGTTGAAGGTTTATACACTTACTGTTACCCAAGGGTTGTTGCCAGACAGAATTGAAAATTATCCCCCATTACACAAATGCCTATTTTCATTTTTATTCAAGAGATGTTTGCATGAGCACATGCATATTTTCATTCAATAACAAACCCAAAATATTTCTACAATATTTTTTAAAAGTGAATATATATATATATATATATATATATATATATGTGTGTGTGTGTATGTAAAAAATCCTATTTATTGCTGAATAATTTCCATAAAATCTTAGAATTATCTGGATTTTTTTAAGTTTGAAAAAAAAAAAAAAAAAAAAATTTTTTTGCTCACCAAACTTAATTGCTCAGCCCAGGGTAGAGGTTGTCCAGACTGAGTTGTCAGAGAATGTTGTATATCAATGTTATATTTCAAATCCTAAAGTTTACTATTTTATTACAGAGTTTAATATTTTGCTGCTCAGCCCAGGGTAGTGGCTGTCGAGACTGAATTGTAAGGAAATGTAGTATCCAATGTCATATTTCAAACTCACTCAAACTGTGTGTCTATGCATGTGCCTGTGTGTATGTTAAATGGCACCAGCAAATGTAAATCACTTACATACACCACAGACATGGATGTACATTACATACAGCCATGTGACAGACAGGGAATCAGTTCTTTTACAAGACAGATTCAAATTTTTATGAAGAACCATTTTATACTTTGTAAAGAAACATGATTTGATGATTCATTTTTATATGTTTATAACAAGGCTACATTTCATTGAGAAAGAAAATCAAGGTGAGTGAATAACATTTTGTATAGGATTTATAGTAAAAAGTAACCAACCTTGATCTGAAAATAATTAACGCCATACATTTGGAAATCTTGAGCAATCTTCAGATATTCCATTTCTGCATCTTCCCTGAAAAAAAAAAAAAAAAAAAAAAAAAAAAAAAAATATTTTAGAAGCTAGCAAAAAATTCAGCAATGTACTGAAACTAAAACGTTTTTAAGGCAGGGACGGGAAATGAAAAATATTTGAAAAATGATTGTTTGGTAATCAGATAAAAATCCTTTTATTTACACAGAAAGTCAGCAAGGTGAAGGAAATGACAATGGAATTTGGAATTGGGTTATCAAAAGTGAACAATGAGGAAGGTGTGGTAAAAACAGTTATTTCAACAAGTATTCCTTAAATCTCTTTTTTTTCCTTTTTATTTCATGGGAACACTTGCAGAAAAACTAAAACTATGGGGTATACTTTAAATGTTAACCTTTAACCCTCTGCATAATTAATATTACATCCCTTTCTATGGCATTCTTTTTCAGTTGCAGTATCCTTATTGGTAATTTCGCTCAAAGCTGTTTTCTGTTGCCATAGCAGGATATGACTCACAACTATGAAATTCAAACATGCTATTGTTCAAGGATCAGAGCCAGCTTTAGTGACAGGATACACCAAATGAAATCATATACAGAATGATAAAGGAAAAATTAATCATGAAATTTTGATTTAGTATTCCCCCAAAAAGATTAGCAGTACAGTTTTCACGTAAAGGGATTTATGAAGAATATCTTTAGACATGTCGATAATGATATATTTACAATCCTTGAAGAAGGCAATAGTGAAAGGATTATCCACTCCTTAAATTGAGTTTAGCATCCAGTGTAAAATATCAAATGACAAAGACTTTACTAAGAAGCCAGGTGACTTATCTTTAGCTATTTAAAATTAAAGATTATTTAAACATAAAAATAATTCATAGATTAAACTTCTGCTAACTGGCTACTTTTCAGGGCACATTAATGCCCCCCACCAAGGTAAATGGGTTGAGAAATGCTCACTTTTAAGGTGCATGAACTTAGGTCAGCCCAAAGCTCAAGGAAATATTAGGTTGGTGCAAAAATAATGAGGTAATAATGTCGTTTTTTGACGTATTTTTTAACGTCAAAAAACGACATTATTACGTCATTATTTTTGGACCAATCTAATAGTTCCTAGATCAATATTTCTGGAATTATTGTGTGTGTGCAAATATGAGCTCCGAATAATACAAATTGACCATAGTCAGGTTTAATGCAAACAATCCTTTCCTTAGTGGCACAGTATG